GGATGGGTGAAAGGTAGGCCGGGCCTGTGGATTTCGCTGCTAACGAATTCTATGACATGGAAGATAGAAACTTTCAATTTGAGTTGTAACTTCTTCTATGGAAACTTGCCACGCTTTTCAATCTCTTACTTACTATCTCGTGCGATTCACTCTCAAGCCATAGCGAACAAGTAAATAAGGAATTACCGAACGAAGTCGCTGGCTGATTTGCTCAGCACCTCGTCATCAGAAAAGTTATTCTTCGTTCTCCTCCACCAACACCCGAAGTAAAGAATTTGTCACATTAGGTGGCGGAGACGTGAGAGGTTCCTGTGACTTCAACCCTTAAGCCTGTAAAGAAAAGTTTTTCTTGTGTATTGCCAATGAAAAGATCTATTTAATCATGTTCACCTGGTCCATATATCATGAAAAATAAATTCTCTCGAATCTCTAACCTGCACACCAAAGACGAAGAAAAATCGGAAAAATACTCGAGAAACACAAAGAAAACCGAAATAGAGCGAAACACACAATAAACGACAAAATGAACCTAAAACCAACTAAATGACTCAAAATGGGGGAAAAAGAATGAGAAAATAATAACAAAAAATGCAACAAAAATGGGACAAACAACTCCCCCACACTAAGATCTTTGTTCGTCCCGAACAAAAGAAAAGAAAATAAGGCACGAGCATGGACATGGTTTCAAATAAGAAGAGCCTCAAAATGCCTAACTCAATCAAGTCGAATTCCAACGACCGTACGACCATATGCCTCAATTATCAACTTGGACTCAAAATGACAAACTCTCAAACGCATAGAATGTAATATAAACCTCACTCATTTTCTTGCACGAATATATGATAGGCACGCTAAAAATTGGTCGATATTCAAGTTTCAACATATGCTTGCCAATCGTCTAAATTACTCAGAAACAATCACAGTTCAAGATTTGCGAATCAAGAAGACTTCACAGGTTGTATTGTGGGCTAAGGAAAAGGTAAGGACATATGTAAACAAGAAGCTCAGATAAACAATCAAAGTTCTCGAGTAATAGACTACTCGAATGTCTGCTACTCATCAAAATCAACAAGGCAAAACACATATCGTTCCCTAACAACTCCACAAACAACACCTAACTGCTCTAATTGGATTACAACATCACTTGACCCAATTTTTTTTTAACTTACTATATTTTTTCTATATCTATTTTATTTTTTTTTTATTTAGAGAGTAACTTTTTCCAAACAAGATCGAATCAAAAGGACAACATTCTGTAGGTGTAAACATT